ATCTCCTGACCTTGTGATCCGCCCGCCTCGGCCTCCCAAAGTGCTGGGATTACAGGCATGAGCCACCACGCCCAGCCTCATATGGCATTTTAAATATACGAAATGCTTACTTTATAACATGTGCACACACGGATACATACACACTCACAACCGAAGACAACAAAGTACTAAAATATTAATGCTGGTTATCATTCAGTAGTAGATTATGAATTTTAAAATAGCTAATCAGTATTTTTAATTTTTTCAATAACGACTATACTTATCCATTAATTAAAAGAAAATCTACAAATAGCAGAGCTTCTACTTTGTAAATTGAGATCTTCAAATAATGATTAATCTGTAAGCTTTCAAAAGATGGTAACTGTGGAAAACAGGTAGGTATCTTTTCCTCTCCATCCTGTGTTACTCTTTCCTCATCCCACTCTAACTCTTCTACTTCTACTTTCTTCACATCAGCCCTGCCATAATTCATTAACTAGAAATACCAAGACACTGAAGGCAATTATTCAATATTTTAAAATTTTAAAGCTGCTCAATTAAATGGTTGATCTTAGAATATATATTTAAAAAGAGGTAAAATAGCCCAATGGCTAAAAGAGACTAAGGTCTTTAAAATTAAACAGATCCGGGTTTAAATCTTAGTTTGCCACTTATGACATGTCACAGAAGTTTCATTTTCCTTACCTGTGAAATGGGAGTACCACTCTGCTTAGTGAATTGCTGTGAGGATGAAATGAGAGGATGCATCTAAAGTATAAGAAGGTAGTACGCATTTGTTAGTCTGTTTTGTGTTGTTATAGCAGAATACCTGAGAAGGTAATTTATAAAGCATAGAGATTAATTTCTTGCAGTCTGCAGGCTGGAAGACCATGATGAAGGAGCTGGCTTCTAGTGATAACCTTCTTGCTGTAGTCATACCATGGCAGGAGGCAGAAGGGCAAGAAAGGGCAAGAGGAAGCGAGCCAGGGAGGAAGAGAGAGCAAGCAAGCATGCAAGGTATGCCCAAGAGTTCCTTGCAGTCTTAAGCCCTTTTATTATTATTTTTACAATTTGTATAAATTTAAGAGGTACAAGTATAGTTGTGTTACAGGATATATTGCTTAGTGGTGGCCTGGGCCTTTTAATGTAACCATCACCCAAATAGTGTACATTGTACTTATTCATTTCTCAACCCTCACCATCCTCCTCCCACCCTCCCTCTCTTCGGAATCTCCAATGACTATACTCAGCATTAATTCATTCATGAGGGCAGAGCTGTCACGACTTGTACCTCCCATGAGGCTTCATCTCTCAACACTGTTGCATTGGGGATTAAGTTTCCAACACATACTTTTTGAGGGACACATTCAAACCATAGCAGCACCCAATAAAAGGTAACTGCTGTTATTGTTTTCTAGTAATGTTATTGCTGTTTTGGGTAAGCAAACCCTAAGTTTTAATTTTCCTGTGGGGAAAAAAAAGCTTAGTGGGGTACTGTGGCTATTCAGTCATTTGGAATTCTCAGATCACTAACATCTCAAAAAGAATTTGGGAGACCTATATGGAGCTGTCAAAATTTTCTTTACAGAGTAGGTATTAATCCATTTTCCCTCAAATGTCTTGTATAGCTGATGTTTTCAAACTACACTCTAATCACTAACCCACATTAATTGTTACGTCTGAATTCTCTTTAATGGTTTCTCCTTCTGCTTGCTTCTATGAGGCTGGGAGGGTTGAACTGCATCACATCCCACATTCTGAATTGGCCTAATTATTCCCACTTGAGGTCAGTTGATTTGTACCTCCATCTCTTGTATCTTCTGTAAACTGAGATGTAGGTCTATAAGCTTGATTAGATTGAAGCAGAACAGCCTTGGCAAGAATAAATACTTCATTGGTAGTGATGAATTTCATCTTGAAACATGTCTATTCCTTGGCCAAGTTGAGTGTGCTAATTCTCTGTGTTCTAGGCAGATTTATGGTTCCCAAGTAGATCAATGCAAAATGAATCAAAATAATTTGTGTTATTAGAAATCTAATTGTTTTAAAATAATACATTTTGTAATTGTGAGAATTGTGTTACCCAGCTCTTCTTCAAAAAAGATTTTACCTTGAAAAGCTAGAGCTGGTGAGTCAACACCAAAACTAAAATAAAATGAGACTCATTAATGAGAAAAAAATAATAACAAAACAAAAACAAACTAGGTATTTAAACCCCACCAACAAATTCACCATCACTATTATTTCATAAAAGAAAATTCATTCAAATAACCCCTAAAAAGGTGGAAGATACTTCAAGTAATCATTCCCAAGAAAGGACAGCTGGCAATTGCATGCCAAAATAATCCTTATTTTTTTTTCATTTTGTCATAAATCAGTAAGCACTTAAGGATTAATATCGGTCTGCAAACTGGTACCTGATGCAAGATGCTTTACTTCTTGTCCTGATTTTTAATCCATGAATGAAGTTGTTCTAGCTACTTCATGGGAATGTTCATTCGACAAACACTAACCAAACACTTGTTATACTATTAAGCAGAGAAATTCAGGAGCAAATGAGGTCACGTATATGAAAACACTGTATACAGTGCCTTGTAGATTGCAAAGCATCATAAAAATATGTGGTATTTTACAAATGTATATATTATCATATATAATTATATAATATATATTACATATATTACATAATTACATAATATATAACTATATATTACATATACATATTATATATATAATTACAAACCGATTCCTAAAAAGAGATAACCCAACACATGTTTTAGTGACTTAGCAATTTTCTATATTCATGCTATCAAAAATAGTACTCAGAATTCTTTGGAATGCATATTTTCCTTCCTTTTTTTTTTTTTAAAGAAAATAGTTATCTTTGTGATGTACCTCATGATTCTGCCATTTTCTGCTTTATGGGAACTGAGGATGTTACCATTCCCTCAGATGGTTATGACTCCCAAGGGAAAGTTATCAAGTTAGAAACTGCTGCTATAATTACCAATATGTAGACTCTGGATTCCAAAAAAGAAAATGTCACAGGGTCTAAAAGGCAGGTTCAGACAAAGAGAAAATTTTATTTTCTTATTCTTGAAATGACTAAGATTTTTCAGTGTTAAAGTTCACTTTCAAGTATGATCAATAACGAGACATCAAATGTAAAAACTATGCAGTTTTATAATTTTCTCCATTGCTTCTTAAACCACTTAAAGTAATTTCGCAATTCAACACATTTAGATGTCTTTTTTACTTTCTTCATTTTTTACTTCTTTAGGCAACAATGGATCAATCTTCAGTAATAAACCTTCACTTGTTGAACTACGAAGGAAAGCACGTATCACAAAGGGACCTGGAAACAAAAATGAGAATCAACTTTGATTTTATATCACAATACCACCTCATGAGCAAATACAGTAAACCCTCACTAAATATTGTCACTAGGTTCTTGGAAACTGCAACTTTAAGCAAAACAACTTATAGAGAAATCAATTGTACCATAGGCTAATTAATAAGAGTTAAGTTTCGAAGACAAATTTCTAGTCACAAAAATATCACCAAGCATCTAAATAAAGAGCTCAAACACTTCTAATATTAACCACTGAAATAAATTTGAACTATAAATACATTTAAGATTAATAAAAGCAATAATTATTTACCCAACTGTTGGTAAATCAGAGTGACAGGAGTCATAGTGGTGGTGACTTAAATCAAAGACTAAGTGTTTGCAAAATGAAAACCGTAAGAAGCGCCATCTGCCACCATGCAGTTCAAAAACAAACTAACAAATATGATTGGCTCCCTGAGTGCTTTCATACCACATCATTTATTGTCCTGCATTTGTATGATCATCATATACTTTGCACATTTTTATTTTACAATAGTTTGCATTCATTCATTCATCTTCCAACTCCCTTATTCCAGTCCAGGGTTGCGGGAGGCCAAAGCCTATCCCGGCAGGTCAGAGCATAGGTGGGAATGATCTCCAGATAAGCAGCATCTCATTGCAGGGCACACGTACACACCCCCCACACTCATTCACACCAGGACCACATAGACATACCAATTAACCTAATATGCCCATCTCTGGGATGTGGGAGAAAACCGAAGTACCCAGAGAACCCATGCAGACATGAGAACATGCGAACTCCACACAGACAGTGGCTCTGGCCAGGAATCTATTTTTTTCTTATGAATGTTATAATGAAATAACACTGGACAAAAGGATATTATTCAAGGACATGCTGTACAAATATGCAGCAGGAAAACTTACAGAACTCATGTCATATTTTCACATGAAGAGTACTGTATTACTAAACTTTTTGTATTACTGTATAACATTTTGAATTATAAGAAGAGGAAGATAGTTTCATTTCTAGAATATAAGACAAACTAGTTGTACTCTAGAATATTAGAGATTTATCCTTGAAACTACATATACTCACTAATAATTCATTTCTCTCTTCCAGAAGATGATCACCTACAATTTATTTTATTGCAAAGTCAACAGTGAAGGGAACAGGTGGTGATATACAGATGCTACCTTTGTGTTACCACACAGTTGGTAAAGTTCTCTAAAAACTAAAATGCTTTTCATAAGAACAATGTTAAGGGGCTTCATTTAAAATAGCAAAAAGACAGCCAGACACCATGGCTCACACCTGTAATCCCAGCACTTTGGGAGGCCAAGGTGGGTGGATCACCTGAGGTCAGGAGTTCGAGACCAGCCTGGCCAACGTGATGAAACCCCATCTCTACTAAAAATACAAAAATTAGCTGACATGGTGGCAGGCGCCTATAATCCCAGCTACCTGGGAGGCTGAGACAGGAGAATTGCTGGAACCTGGGAGGCGGAGGTTGCAGTGAGCTGACATCAAGCCACTGCACTCTAGCATGGGCGACAGAGTGAGACCCTGTCTCAAAAAATAAAATAAAGTTGCAAAAAGAGAATCACAACATTTAAACATGCTAAGGGGGCTTCATATGAAATAGCAGAAAGAGAATAACAACATTTTGAGGATTTGCTGTCCATCATCTACTCCTACTATGGTCTCAGAGGATCCTGTACTGAAATCAAAGTTCTCTGTGGACTATAAGAATCCATACACATCCAATTACTTAGTAGTATGGCCATATTTAGGACAAGAGAATTAACAAGGGTGATATTTATTCACCAGTATGGTTAACTCCCAAAGAAGGTGAAAAATAGCTTAAGATTGTGTTTTAATTATAAACTTGGTTATAAAAGTAAACCTGACAAATTCTTATCATGGTAAGCCTACAAATGAATAATCAATCGAGTATAATGGACCCTTGCTTGGCTTCAACCATCCACAAGTGAAATTTGTCTGAGGAAGGAATTTGAACAGCACACAACACAATGACAAAGAAACTGGACACCTGTGTTCCAGCCTACAACACCGTTTTCGCATCTCAATTGAGTTGAGTGATTCTCTATGAATCACCTCATTTATAAATGACTCTCATGACACAATAAAATGATCTTCTTTCTTTCCTGTAATAAATAAATAAGATTAAGAAAACCAACTGCTAGTGCCAATGACAAAGTTAATGATCTGGCTTCAAAATGTCATTTTAGAAATAATTTTAGTCCCTAACATCACTGTAAGTTTAAAGCAATCAGTTACGGTTTTCTTTCAAACTTTGCTACATTTATTAGTAGTAATAATGTGGGAATCTACAAAGGTTTCAGGATGCATTCCTCATTAATGCTAGAGAAATCCTTTGGAGAATTAAATTTCTTTATCTAATCCCTGGAAATATAATATTTGCATGTTAACTTGATATTTTATTTAATATTTTACACTTTGCTATTATACTTGCATGTTAACTTGACTTTTTTCTTCATATTTTACATTTTAAAGTATCGCGGGGTCATAGGGAAGTCTACCCTCAGCAAACCACTTACCCAAATTCAGTGGTCTGTGCCTACAAACTTCATTAATAACTGCTTGTAGATTGGCAGCTATCTGGTCACTTGACATATCCAACTGAAAGAAAGTAATATATACAACATTAATGATGAGAAAGTAAGAAGATAATACAATTATTCTAGACTATTTTTCAAATATTCAATCAATGCAAATTATCTAGTAAGTGACCCTACTGTGAAAGGGGAAAACCTCTACAGCTCTTTGTTTCGAATGCCACATTTACATGTCTTCACTTGTCAAGATTTAATAGATTTATAGAACATGTTATAACAAATTGAAGTTGAAGTTTTTCTACTTGAGAGTCCTTGACTTCCAAGTAATTTCCCCAAAGCATATCTTGGAGCAGAATACATCATTTCCTACACCCACCCTGCAAGGAAACAGTGATATTTTCTCATGAAGTTTGTTGATTTAAAGGAAACTAAGAAAATGTTTAGAAATTAATGTTTTCATGAGTCCAAAATAAAACTGCTTGCCACATGCATTCAGACAATACATATCTACACAGAGACAATTTCAGGATGTTGTGCTAACGTTCTAATTTTTCAAACACTCTATGCAATAACAATTATCTTGTCATTTAGCAGTGAGTAAACATACAGTGAATGAGTCCTATTCATAAAACTCCTAAACTCAAACTACACCCTTGAAAAGTCTTTGTGTTTATTATTCAAATTCAATGACTCTTATTCTTCCTAAATATTCTAGTTAAAATCCGCTATATTACATTCAAATGTTTACAGGATTTTGCACCGTGCCAAATAAACCAATTTTCAAAAAATTCATGGTTGGGCACGGTGGCTCACGCCTGTAATACCAGAACTTTGGGAGGCCAAGGCAGGCGGATCACCTGAGGTCAGGAGTTTGAGACCTGCCTGGCCAACACGGTGAAACCTCGTCTCTACTAAAAATACAAAAATTAGTCAGGTGTGGTGGCAGATGCCTGTAATCCCAGCTACTCAGGAGGCTGAGGCAGGAGAATTGCTTGATCCCAGGAGGCGGACGTTGCAGTCAGCTGAGATTGCATCATTGCACTCCAGCCTGGGTGACGAGAGTGAAACTCTGTCTCAAAAAAAAAAAAAAGAAGATTCATATAAAATTATAGTAGCTTAACAGGCAAAATTTATACAGTACAACAGTTGAAGTTCAAACAAGATTTCTGTTTTCCAAAGACTCTGAGAGCCCTGTGAGAACTGTGCCCCACATAAACATAAAGAGAATTCGTCCTAAAAAAATTATTTTATCATCATCAAACAGCATTTATTCAACACCCACTTGGGCACGATGCAGTACCAAATCCTAAGTGAGAAAGGTTGGACAATACTGGAGGAATTCTCACTTTATGCCAATCCTTAAGTAGAAGTTCTGAGAGGATAAAAAAGCAATGTTTAGTTCACCTTATTAAGTCCATACACCATACAGACTTTAATTTGCATTGAAGCAGGTAGCTCACTGGCAGAGAAGGCACCTTACACATTTATGTTGAAAAATAAAAAAAGAAAAGGCTAAAGGCATCAGCATGTGTCCCTGCCTTCAATTTCCCTCTTAACTCTGCACAATATATGTTTCAAAAATATAAAACAATTATGTCCCCTGCAACTTTCATTATTAGGATACCTTCAATGATTTTATCAATTTAAGTTTAAAAAAACCACAAAAATGTTTTAAAACATAGTTTACACTTTTATTCAAATTTTAGCATATTTAATATATGGTACTGTGCCCTCTACTGAATTTTAAAATATATGTATAGCTATACTTTTTATTTTAGATATTGTGCAAAATTATGGAAATGTTACATATCTCATAGGCATTACTGTGATTATTTAATTGGCTAATGACAAGACAGATAGTTGTGTACAAAAACAAAATATAAATGTGGATGAGTTTTATCAAAACTTGCTAAGGAAATTCATTTGGGGTGACAATGATCTAAAGAGAACTCAGAAAAGCAAACTTACAAGGTTTTCTGCCTACTTCTCAGTTAGTCTGCACTCCAATAGTGCTTTCCCATGTGATAACATTTTGTGGTCTTAAGGAGGCAGGATGACTATTTTGAAGAGAGAATATTATCTATTATATTAACAAAAGCACAGTATATGACTTGGTACAGCAAGGGAAAAACAAACAGGGATGGGGTTGATCTTGAAGGGGATATAGGACTATGTTAAGCACCATATTTGTATGTGTGCATATGTGTGTATTTGAATATATAACAGTCACAATACTACATATGTTTAACTAAAGTGATTATCCATTGCAAGACAAAACAGTTATTCCTTATTCTGCAGCATACATGTTTTCAAAAAAAAAAAAAAAAAAAAAAAGACCACTTTACTTTCTGCTTAGCATCCCTTATTATGTCAGAAACCATTCCCTAAGCAGACAGAAGGCTTCTACAAAAGATGTCAGGGCAGTGGCTCAGTGGACACAGGTGAACTTTATGTCTCTATCTCTGTTTTAACTCTCAGATTTCCCCCTTTTTGTGTAATTCCTAACCATTTTATTCAATAACTTTCTTATCATTATGATAAAACTAAAAATCAGTGGTTCTTAACCCTTTTTTTTTTTGGTCCCGTTGAGATGCATATGTCATAATTCATCTCAGGGCAAAATGTAATCACAAGCATGTCCAAGCCAGTGATTCTTAAACATTTTTAGGTCATTGAGTCTTGCTACAGAAAAATTCACAAAAAGAACTTAGTCTACACGACCAGGGTCTTCACAGATTCTCTGATTTAAAAGAAAGGGGATAAAAGAAGAAAGATTCCTGGGGAAAGTGTCTGAGTTAAAAAGGATCCCTGGGCCACATTTTGAGAACCACTACTACAGAGGTTAGTCTGTCCAGATATTTTGAAGGACTAAGGATTACAGTGTGAATAAAGGATTTTTACAATCTTACAGAAGACAGAACCAAAAAAAGAAGAAGAAAAAAAAAGCACCCCATACATGATTTTTAAACAATCACATGTTCCTTCTAAAGTGGCAACTTATATTACTATAAATGCTCTGACAGTCTCTAGATGACTAATCATCTTTGACTGAAAACTGCAGAGAGGACTGCTGCTTTGGATAAGCACCTGTTAGACCACTTGGCCTCCAAAATCCCTTCCAAATGTAATATTCTAAGACTATATAAAGTGTGGACTGGCAGACGGCTTTTAAAGATGGGCCAAAACTCTTAATTTCCATGACTCCTAACAGTCTAAACTAAGAAAAGAAAGGTTATCCGTATGTCTCCTACATAACATAAAGTAGTAATAATAATTGATGGTGCAGCTCTGTTTATTGGGTACTTACTTTGGGCCAAGCTCTAAGTGTTCACATAGATATTCTTATTCATTTCTCCCAAGAACCCTATGAGGTAGGTGCTATTATTATCCTTTATTTACACTTATAAACAGACTCAGAAAACTCTGTAACTTATTCATGGGGACACACATGGTAAGGGGTGGCCAAGTAGCTACATGTCTGAGCACTTAAGGCAGACAAACCTCACTTCCACCACCTTACTAGCTTATGACTCTGGACACAGCTATTACAAGTTGGTGATCTTTATATAAAGAAAATGAAGTATCAATTGTCTGAGAAACACAAATGAGTGTGTTGTATACTAAGGGGAGAAAAAAGAGAAACTAAGTGAAACACCAAAAGAATATACATTTAAGATGGAAAAATAAGAATTTTTCTCTTTGCCCAATGAATCCTTTACTACCTTCCTAATTTTTAGATGTTAACACCATACAACTTAGCAACATTTACTTAACCCCCACTCTGTCAAGCAACACACAGAACCAGGAACAGAAAGATGAATAAGATACAAACCTTGCCCTTGAGATTACAATATAGACACTAAAACACACCATAAGAAATACCACTTTAACTATATGAACAAAGTGCCACAAGGGCACAGAGGAAGAAGTAATTGACACGGAGGCTTTACTCATCACCAAAGAAGGTGATATCTAAGCTGAATCTTAAAGGATGACGAATTTTGAAGGACAAAGAGGATCTTCTAGGCAGAGGCACCAGCATAAGGTAATGTGAGACAAAGGTGGATCAGGAGAACCCACAGACCCTTGAAGGAAGCGGATTGCTCCGGCAGGCCCCAGAGACAGCAGAAAACTGTGCTGCTGTCCATGGCTGAGAGACCTGAAGACAGTTTGCATCACAGTACTCTGTGCAGACATGCCCCACTACCAGTCTGGAGCCTGGTAACTCTGCTGGGTGGCCAGATCCAGAAGAGAAATAACAATCATTACAGTTTGGCTCTCAGGAAGCCCCATCCCTAGGGGAAGAAGGGGAGCACTACATCAAGGGAACAACTGGTGGGACAAAAGAATCTGAACAGCAGCCCTTGAGCCTCAGAACTTCCTTCTGGAAGGAACCAGAAAAACAATTGTGGTAATATGACAAAACCAAAGTTCTTAAATACCCCCCTCCCCCAAAAGATAACACTAGCTTATCAGCAATGGATCGCAATGGATTGAAACCAAGAAGAAATCCCTGAATTGCCAGAAAAGAATTCAGAAGGTTGATTATTAAGCTAATCAAGGAGGCAGCAGAGAAAGGTGAAGTCCAACTTAATGAAATCAAAAAAGTGATACAAGATATGAAGGGAAAAATCTTCAGTGAACTAGATAGCATAAATAAAAAATAATCACAACTTCTGGAAATGAAGGACACACTTCATTTGCAGAAATGCAAAATGCACTGGAAAGTCTCAGCAATAGAATCCAACAAGCAGAATAAAGAATTTCAGAGCTCAAAGACAAGTTTTTGAATTAACTCAATCCACAAAGAGAAAGAAAAGAGAATCAAAATAAATAAACAAACAAAGCCTCCAAGAAGTTGGGATTATGTTAAATGATCAAAACTATGAATATGGTGTTCCTGAGGAAGAAATCAACAAGTTTGAAAAACATATTTGAGGGAATAATCAAGGAAAACTTCCCAACCTTGCTAGAGATCTAAATACAAAGCAGCTCAAAGAACACCTGGGAAATTTATCGCAAAAAGATCATTGCCTAGGCACATAGTCATCAGGTTATCTAAAG